ATCTTCACTGTTGGTTGCGGCTTTAAAGAACCGCTACTATTACCAACTTTTCCACCTTCGCGACTACATGTCAACGTCAGGAATCTTAAAACTCCATCGTCCCCTTTTTTTGAATTCCTTTTCCTGACTGGAAAACCCACTGCGTAAGCATATCTCTTATAGAAATAATACATATCTTGTTTAGCTTTGAACAACATTCCCACCTCGGGTATAATTATGCCATCTCCCCTTGAGGTTTCACCTTCCACTTCATTCATCGACTCTGTCACATTTTCATTCTCAGATGGCTCCAAAGCATCGTCATCCTTGTCGTCACCGTCGTCCATGATTTTTCCTACTGCGAATAACATAAAATTAGTCATATTCAACCAAATTTTTTGGTGTGGATTGCAGTCTATTTGCTTCATATCCTCATTTATTTCAATTCATATATAAAAAGTTAAATAATAGGTTGTTGTCCATATATCACAAATGTTTACAGCCCAAAAAAGTATAACAACCCATGCAAACTGCATTAGTAAACCAAAAAATAAGTTGAAGCCCACTCCTAAAAATCATTTATTCCTTCCTGGATATGCATAAAACCAAGCAGTCAAGACACTCACAAACTCAATTAATGCTAACACATCGAGTCATGGGAGGAAATAATAATAAAAATACAAAATACAAATGAGATATATTATACTGAACGGGGAACTTCATGTCATTCTAGACAAATGAATAACATTATGTTTTCAAGCTTCAAACTCAAATTTAATACTCAAATGTTAAAGCATGAAAATCAAGTTAAAACTTTATGAATTCTTACGGGCAAAAAATGTGATTGAAAAACCTTTCACCATCACTAACACAATTACATTATGAACTACACTCCATGATCTAATCAAATAGTAAGCTTGGAAATCTCAAGATCATATAATCCCTCGATATTAGAAATGTTCAATAGTCAAGGAAAAGTTGGAGGTCTTGGGATCAAGCCATATCCACCTCCCTTCCACTTAACCGCATAGCAGGGAAGAAAGAAAAAGAACATTACTTCTGTGATTTTCATGGTTTTTTTTCTTGCATTCATCATTCCAACATTCAGATAAAAAGAGCAACTTTTGCAGGAGAATCCCTCCTTGAAATTTGACAATAGCAAGAAAAATTCCACAAGATAGAAGATTTAGTTTCCCCAGTTTTAGATTGAACAAAAATGAAATAACCAAAAAGTCTCAAATTTCAGCTCCTAAAGCAGCAAACTACCGTGCTAGTGTTTACAGTGTTCAGTCGACTATACCTATTGAGCGGGTTTTTTTGGTACATCATGCTATACTTTTCACATAAATAAATCAGAGATTAAGCGCAAGGAATGAAGACATAAGTTAATCCATAATCAAAGTAAAAAAATTAAAAAGTAACAAAAATCGCAAACGGGTTCTCGAAAAATCTGACCTTTTACTCTTATCTTGGTAGGTTGGGTCTCAGAGGGTCACCAGAATGTAGCCAAATGGTCGGGGAGGTCGTTGTCGGACTTTATATATTTCTCGACGGAGCTGAATTCGTATTTACAGAAAGGGATGGTTCATATTTACAGAAAGGGATGGTGGTTTTGAAAGAAATATTGCCGGTTGTTTTGAAAGAATTATTTAGGGGAAAGTAATTTAGGAAGACGGGGGAAAGTAATTTAGGAAGACAGAGGAAAATGTCATAGAGCTCTTGTGTTTTCCCTCGCAAATCACGTGTGTTTTCTTTCCCTTTCTTTTTGTTTCCCACCAAAACACAAGAAGACAAAGACGCATAAGCAAATTTTGAAAGCCTGTTTTTGAGTTTGTATGAGGGGGCCTGTTCGACTAGCATTATTCTAAATTATTTTCATAAAGTCATTTATATTAAAATATGCTTATTTACTTATAAGTAAACTTTTTAAGCTTTTCCAACATGATCTAAATTGTTCGGTTGAGATTAAAAGGTAGCATAAGACTATATTGTAGACAAATGGTAACATTAACCCTTAATAATCAAAATTATTGGATGTACCCTTTAAAAGAAAGGATCAGAACGTCACGATCTTTCCCCAGTGGATAGATTGTAGTTACTTTCGATACTCTCTTTTTATTTTTTTACATGAATTTCAATTCATCGAATTGTCATTTAAATAAACACTATTAATTAAAGTTTTTAGTCCATTAGACACTTTAGGCTTTCTAATCAACTCTGCATAGATTTCCCAGAAAATAGGTACTAGAACCATCTCGCATGATCAAATGACCATATTCAACTCATATTTGATACGGATAATTTAAAATTTATTATTTCAAAATCTATTTTCAATCATTTATTTTTTGAATAAAATATTTTTCACATTGAATTCGTAAGTTTTACTTATTTTTTAAACACAAATTCTAAAAAATAAAAAAATTCCATTTTCATAAAATCTACGGATCCTTAATAAAGTTACCGATTGAAGACAAAATCCATTGCGGTTCAAAAAGTTGATCACTTAGAAATAGTCCTCGAATCTTTTTTTTCTTTCCTTATTAAAGTTGAGAAGCAAGCAAGTTACTTATTTTGATTGAAAATCAAAACTTACTTTCGGAAACATAAGAAATACACAACTTTAGGAAGTATATTCAGATTTTTTTTTTTTTTAAATAAAGTAACCTATAAACAAGGTCGAATGGGTAGGGAGTAGGAGTGGGCGTGATCAGGGGCGGACGCAGACATTTTAGACTAGGGGGTCAGTAACGAACTTTTAAAAAAGTGATGAAAAAATTAAAATAAGATATATCTTATTACAATTGCTCTCTACGTGTTCTCATACTTTGATAACGTTCAATAATTACATCATTTTCAATCTTATCAAAAACATCTTTCTCAATATATGCAATCAAACTATCATTCAACCATTGATCTCCAATTCGATTGCGCAGACGATTTTTTACGTAAGTCATCGTAGAAAATGCTCTCTCGACTGTAGCAGTAGCCACGGGAAGAACTAAGGCTAGTGTCACAAGTTTGTAGACTAATGGATACACTTCATGTTTATTCTTCACAACCAACTTCCATGCAAGATCGCTAATGCCTTGTAATTCTTCAAAGTCTTCAAAAGTGCGCATATCAATAATATACGTATCTAGTTGATCATCAAGTTCTAGGATATCTGCTGCATCAAAATCTACCGGATAATACTGACATAGTCGAATCAATTTGATCTTGTGAAAAGCAGCAAATGAATTATTTGGAGATAAACATGCAACACAAATAAGCAAGTCACTATTTGCTTCAGAAAAACGATCATTCAACTCTTGAAGTTGCATATCAATGACAGCATAAAACATTTCCACACGAAAATGATGCAAATTTGTCACTATCTCACGCCGTGAACGACCTACAGTTACGAACATATCATCCATATCGAGAACATTGATCTTGTGAGTTTCACAAAACGAACAAATCACTCCCAAAAAAGAATCCCATCCACCATCTCTCATGGTTTGGAGTTGTGTTTTACATATTTGCACCAATTTCATAGCATTGACAATATCTTAATCTTTTCTTTGTAATGCTTTTGACAATTCATTTGAAATCCCTAAAATCTTTTTCATGAGATATAGATTAAATGCAAATTCAAATCTTAACATCAACTCCAATGAAATGCATGCATCACCTCTTGTTCCGGTACTTGTAGAATCAGTAGCAATCATCTCAATGACTTCGACTATAGTTGAAAACATGGTAATCAAGTTAATTAAACAACTATAGTGAGAGCCCCAACGTGTATCCCCAGGACGCTGAAGAGTAATTTCTTGATTGAGACCTCGTCCGCTTGATATTTCACCAATACTGAGTGATTCAAGAATTTTCAATCTTTGATTCTCTCGAATAAGATCACTCCGTTTAGCTGATCCTCCAACAATATTCACCAATCTATATACTGTAGTGAAGAAAGTTTCAATCTTCGGATGTTTCTGTGCCACAGCTACAAGAGCTAATTGAAGTTGATGAGCAAAGCAATGAATATAGTAAGCACTTGAATTTTCTTTTAAAATAAGTGCTTTGAGGCCATTATACTCACCTCGCATGTTACTAGCTCCATCATATCCCTGGTCTCTCAAATTAGATATGCTTAAACTATGCGTTGAGAATAATTGATCAATTGTAGCCTTAAGTGAGGCAGCTGTGGTATTCTAAACATGAATGACACCAATAAAATGTTCCAATATACACCCATTCTTCACATAACGAATGACAACTGACATTTGCTCTTTCACAGAAATGTCTCGAGATTTATCAACTAAAATTGAGAAGAAACTATCACGAATATTTTCGATAATCACATGTAGACATTCAGAAGCAATAGCACTTACAATATCTTTTTGCACTCTTGGTGATGTTAATTTCAATTTTCCAGGTGCATTTGTCAAAGCAACGGCCTTAATCTCAGGATTATGATCACACAACCAATGCAATAGTTCAAGAAAGTTTCCTTGTTTGTTTGAATCTTCATATTCATCATGTCCACGAAATGCCATCCCTTGTCGTAGAAGAAATCGAACACAATCAATTGAAGCATTTAATCGGATTCGATAATTTGTTCGAACTTGATGCGATTGTTTAACGAGACAAGATCGAATACTTTGTTCTTGATTGTTGAACAATTCATATTTGACCCGAGCTTGATTGTGTGCACTACTTGAAGCCCCAAAGTGTTTTCTTATATATTCTTTCTTTTTCCAATTTGAAAATTAGCCTTTAACAAATGAACCATCATTCAAACCGAAAAGATAACAATAAAAGCAAAACACTGCATCCTTTGCTATACTGTATTCCAACCAAGTGGGATGCTCGTTATACCACGAAACACAAAATCGTCGGTCTATTTTACCTATTCTTGTGGGTGGAAATATATGATTGCGAGGCTGACAAGGACCTCTTTGCATATATGCTCTTCGAATCACATCTCGAATATTAACATCATAATTCTGTATTGGAACTCTCAATCCAAGATCAGAGGGAAGCTATGCAACATCAACATCCCCAACATCTCCAACATCTCCAATATCCTCAACATTTCCTCCACTATCCCCAACATCTCCAATATCTTCAACATTTCCAACGTCTCCAATACCCCCAAATCCAACATCAACATCTCCAACGTCTCCAATACCCCCAACATCTCCAACATCAACATCAACATCAACATCCCCAACATCGTTTTCATCCCTTTTCTTTCGAACATTCCTTTCGCCGATATTTTGTTCATCACAGGAAATCGTAGATGTACGTTTAAAGTATTTTTCCATAACTGAAACAAACCAACCAAAAATGAAAAATCAACAAGATTAGAAATGCCTAAATTAGTTTATACTATTTCCTACCTACCAAAAGTCAGACAAAATTTCAATCTTCCCAAATCAATATTATCAATAATCAATTTACATATAAATAAGTAACAAAGCCCTAAATCAGAAAAGGGTCAATTTCCTAAATTAAAGCCCTAAATCAGAAATCCCTAAATTACATTTATTGGGTAGGAACATGAATCATAATTGATTAATTGAACTGTAAATAAATCCAAATTTAGAAATAGGAACTAACCACACATAGAGGCAGGCAGGCAGCAGAGCAATTAACTTACGGTTATTGTCACTTATGGAGAAGAATTCAAAGAAAAAATTCGAGTAAGTGATAAGTCTGTAAGTGTAAAGCTTCTAACCTTCAAGTCAGTAGAACTGGAGTCCACCCCTGACTAATTGCCGGAGAGATTGACGGGTCGCCGACACTGGCGTCGGCTGTTGCTGTTGCTGTTGCAGTTGCAGTCGCATGGAGGCCGGAGGTGTTCCAGGTGGAGGCAGTCAGGTCAGGCAGAAACAGAGGTGGGGACGGAGCGGTGGCCGGTGGCTGTGGGTGAGCTCTCACTGCTCTGTGCTGTGCTTCAATGGTGGGAGACTGAGAGTGGGAGTCAGCGCCATTTGTGCGAGAGACGGGAGTTGAGAGAGAGATATATGGTTGAAGCAGTCAAGCAGGGAAGGAATTGTTTGAGTTTTGACTATTTTGATTTTTGACCTACTAATTTATTTATTAAAAAAAAAAACCTTAAAACTAGGGGGTCAATTGACCCTACATGCCCCCCCAGATCCGCTAGTGGGCGTGATCCGGTTCGATCCAATTCCAAAGGGATCTGAACCAAATCGAATACCAATGTGTATTTTAGAAGTGGAACCATTGGTTCCACGACAAACTATGGAATCGAATGGTACGGTCCGATCCGATTCTTTACATTGAAACATGTTAAAAAAAATGTTCCCTAATAAAAGATCTAAAAATGCCACCAACGTGATACTTTTAACAAAATATGGAAGAACCGAACATATTATTTTAAGATTAAAAGAAAACTAAGTATAAAAAATTAAAAATAGTAACAAAATAATATAAGTTACTATCATCAAACAATCGTCAACTTATATAAACTGCATAGTACTCCAGTGACTCAAAATCAAAATCCTATATTGAATTGGACAGCTTTTAAAAATTTATTGTAATTTCTGGTTCTATCGGTTATAATTTGTAGAAATCTAGACAAAAATTTCAATCGGATCAACAATTATTTAATCAAAGTGAAAACAAAATAAAAATTTTGCCTTAGAAATGAAACTATATATTGTAAATAGATTTATTTAAGTATAGATTTACCCAATATTCTAATTTAGGTTAAGAATCAGTTAATCAAAGAATTATAAGAATATAGAATAAAAGAATTAAAGTGACGAAGGAAAGTGTTGGAGTCTAAAATAAAGAAGGAATCTAATTATTTTTTATAAAAGTGATTGGAGATTGAGTAATATATTTTACAAAAAAAAATAAAAATCCTATGAGAACCGTCCGGTTCCTGTCCAGTTCCCATAATAGAACTGATAATCGGACCGAAATCGAACTGGCTGATCCTAAACTGTTTCGGTCCAGTTCCACCAATTCTGAAAAAAATGCCTACTCCTAGTAGGGAGAGTAGAGTTGGGCTTAGGTCAACCCTCTTTATCTCTCGCCAATGTTTTAAAAAGCGTGGCAATATGTAGATGTTACGTTTTGGTCAATGTGCGCCTAGATGAGGCTTAAGCATAAAATGACATAAAAATGCGTTTTCTTATTTTAATATCATTCTAAATTTTTAATCAATTTAAAAATCATTTAATAATACATACATATTATAGTGTCAAATGCAGTTTTTAGAGCTCAATAAAAAAAATATATTTTCGAGAAATAAACAATATATATTATAATAGTGTTAATAAAAATGTTTGGAGAGTTTATAATTTTTATTAACTAATAAAAGATAGGAAAATGATTAACTAAATCAATAAAATATAAATAACCATTCATACAATGGTACAATACACTACAGTCGATCAAATGTACAATACATTGCAGCCAAACTATAGATACAATTATTAAAGTCAAATCAAAGGTACAATGTACTACTACTACAACCAAACTAAAGGTACAATATCAATCAAATCAAATGAATTTTTATCACGCATTAAAAATGTACAACAAATTTTTGGAGATGCCTTCTATAAATTAGTGGACCAATATATGGGTAAATAATTTTTTTTATCTTTCATTCTATTGGCCTAAAAATTGAAAATTTTATAATTATTAATTTTTGGACCTATCAATTCAATTGGCCTAAAAGTGTAAAACTTTATATAGTGTTTAAAAAAATTAAAAATTGAAAAAAAAAATGTACGCCAAGACTCGCCTTAAAGCTATCAACAGAAGTATTGACTGCTACATTAGCACAGAGGTTCAAGGTGCACGCTATTTAAAACTAGGGTTAGGCAAGTCTCCCGAACCGAACCCGACGATTCTTGTCAAATTAAATACTCGAACGGGTATCTGAATTGAGAATCGACGGGTACGGCTCGGTTCTCGGCTCTAGACCAAGAACCAAAAAATCGAATAAGAACCGAATCTTTCTAATTTTTTTATTTTATATATTGAATAAATTAAATTATTTAAATTTTAATTTTTCTAAACAAATTAACAATTTCTAAATCCAATTTTTTGGTCCAATAATTTATTTCATTTCTAGTTTTTTAATTTTTGGCACAATTACACATTTTATTGTCTCATTTCTCAGCCCAACAAGATTCAACCCACTAAATAATTATAAATATTTACACTAAAGTGCATAACGCTATCTTGACTCTCGCAACCTCGCTGACATTTCAAAATCTATATAATTGTCGACCGACGTTGTGACCTTCGATCGAAGTTGTGACCTCCGTCAACCGAAATTTTGACCGTAGCGATCAGTTGAATAAGGTAGTCTACTAGTCTCTGACATTTTAAAACCATTGAATGTATCATTAGTTGTATTTATAATGTTGTTATAAATGTTAAAAAATTTAATTATAGTACAGAACCGAACGAAACCAAACCGAACCTGAACGGTTCCATAATTATATTTGGACCCGACGGTTCCATTTACTAAATACCCGAACCGACCCGTGCCCACCCTTATTTAAAACATTGTCTCTCGCTTTGCTTTGGAAAAATTCTGATTCACTCTCATTAATAAATATAATTTAAATTAAAAAAAGTTGGAACCAAAATCATGTTGTCCATCCATATCCCGATTCCCCCGATGGAGCAGGTGTGAGATCAAGACAAATTGTCATCTCCAATGAAATCACTCTAGCGATGGATCCAAAATTTTGAGCGAGCACAAACGATCGTTGATTGTTGACCGTCGATCGTAATAAAATATTATAAATTAAGCCCTTGTTTGAGCCACATTATTTTCCTTAGAATGCATTTTTGAATAGTGTATTGATAATAAAGGTGTGGTTAAAAAATAAAAAAGTTTTGGATTTACGTGTAATATTATTTTATTGAAAAATGTGTGGTTAAAATGATGTCAAATTACTATTTAAGAATGTATTTTTTTGAAAAATGTGGCTCAAACATGTCCTAAATATAATAATAATTTTGCTAGAACTGAACACGTATAATTTTATTTTACAAAAATAACAATATTCACCAAATCTCATAGTAGCAGTATATTGTATTATTCAAAGGAAGAGCAAAAGTTCGAATCCTTGGGATTGCATTAAAACCGCTAAAATGAAATATATATTACTCAGGTAAATTTAACAAGTGTCATGATGGTTAGACTTTTAATAATCTTAAAGAGGGCACACGTTCGAATCTCCTTCTTATCGCATTAGTTTTGGTAAAAAGTGTAGAAATAGAAAATTTGCACAAAAAATTGGGTTTGAAGAGATTCAAACCCCGGACATTCAGTCCCCGTTTGGCCCCATTATTTGATGAGAATGCGTGGTTGAAAAAGGATGAAAAGTTTTTGATTTATGTGTAATATTATTTTATTGAAGAATACATGTTTAAAAGGAAGAGAGATAAAAATGTCTCATAAATTTAGGTCCCATTTGTTTCCCATTTTCTCAATAATGAAAATAAAAAATATAATTATTACGGGTCCCACACAAGAGATAAAAATTCAAATTTAGTGGTTCGATGTGATGTATAATGGTCATACGTTTCATTTTAATGAGGAAATAATGAGAAACAAACGGAGGCTTAATGTGATTCAAATGGGGTCAATTTGTATGTGGAAACTCTAAACAATTGAGCTACAAGACATGTTTGAAAATAAAATAAATTATAATATATAAAATCTAAAACTTTTATCTATTGTCAAAAAAAAAAAATTTGTTCTCGACAAATCCAACACGCGCGATCGCCTATTGCTGGACCCGCCACTGAGTAGCTATATGCACGCTCTAATCCAATATCCTTTGTTTGGATAGAACCTCAAAAGAAAGAGGCAAAAATTAAACCATGTTTGACTAAACATGGTAAAAAAGAGTCCCAAGTATCTAAAAGTATTTTAAAACTTATATACAAGTTTAAACGCCATTTTTAATAACTTTTTTTAACTAAAGCATATTTATCAATAAAGAGTAAAAAAGCAAAAACTCGAAAGATACTTTAAAAACATTTTTTTATCGACGTTATCAAAACTTGATAAATTTACAGACATTACCCATCTCCTTTTTGCATCCACACGGCCATCTCACGATCATTAGTTAATTTTAGTTTCGTTTAGTAGAGATTAAAATCAAATTTTTAGTAAATTTTGATAAAAAAAATGATAAAATATGTTATTGAAAAGTTATGAATCCCATAAAATATGTGATTACATATTTGGTAGGGATTAAAATTAGATTTTTATAAATTTTGATAAAAAATCGATGAAATATGTGATTAGAAAGTTATAAATTCCATGAAAAATGTGATTGCCTATTTGATATAGTAAATTTTGATAAAAATTGATGAAATTTGTGATGAAAAGTTGTGAATTTCACGAAATATATTGTTAAAATTAATTATTAACCTTGACTTAGATAAAAATTGAGATTTCAATATTTTTTTTCTAACTATTCACCATTTATAGCTGATTGATTTTAATTTTATGCACAGTTAACAGTTTATGTATGATTTTAGAAGCAATTTTCTTTTTTTGTACAGAAGCAGAAGTGACAGAATTGCACCAGATGCTGATGCATCTAATTTTTGTGCTATTTTTTAACTGGATGCTGCCATTTATATTATGTAAAAATTCTGATAAAAAATTGTGTACACATAGCACTTCAATATAAAAATGCCTGTTCAAGTTCATATAGAGCATTCTCTAAAAAGTAAAAAGTTACTTTAAAAATAATAAAGTGATTTTATTCTTTTTCCAG